TGAGGCAAACAGAAGACCAGTCTAAAAAGTAGGCACAAACCTGTTCAGAGAAAAAGCAAATTTGTACAGATTGGATGAATTCTAAATTATCTGTTTGCTGAGTGAGATGATCCTAACTATTAAATTGGCTCAGTAGTAGTATAGTGATTTACACTGATAAAATGTTGTAATATACTGTTGTTATTATATGGAAAGAAAAGGATGATAATATTAATAAAAATATAATATTAATCATAAGTGGCACCTTGGTCAGTTGTGATGTGAGGTGGATAATTGTTATGAAGTAGTATGAAGTAGTATGAAGTAGTCTGCACCAAGCTTAAGGTTGCTCAAACTCAGTATAATGACATATGAGATGAAGAAAATAAAGGCACTTGATCTGCTTGATAACCTGTCATTTATCTTAGATAAAAAATTACTGAGATATAGAGCACATCTATAATAGGAGCTCATAAGCCAAACCTTGTAGACAACAGCTAGGGCTACAGGAATGTGAAGCTGAATTAAATATGTGGACACTGCTAAGTTGATGAGCATGCTACACATTTTCTTTTATTTTTATTTATTTGTTTTTAGAACAGAAGCTGAGTATGTGACGATTGAATAAAAAAGTGTGTTTTGTATCCGAGGTGACTGTTTTTCCTGTAACCTACATCATAGAGCAAAAGCACTATGTACCATTGGGCTCATGTGATGACAGAGTTTATCTTGATACAGTTTGGGCCCTTGAGGAAGATCTAATGGGATACTCTAACAAGAGACTTGTAATTTTATCTCCAGTAACACTGCTTCTGATTAGTGACCTGCAGAGTCCTGAAAGGACATTTTCCTTTCATTTTCATTAGACCCTGAGAGATAAAACAATTTGTTTTTCATTCCTGCAGTTAGCCCACTTTTCCCAAGTAACCTTGTGCACTGTTAGCTCATTATTTAGATATTGTTTCTTTCAACTGGCAATACACAGAAATACTGAGTGTTTTTATTCCTAAATCCAGGGGTGTCAAATCCATTTCATGTTGTGGGCCACATGTAGCCCACCTTGTTTTTAAATTGACAGAAATAGACCTGACCAGTGAAATTCTTCTTTCTGTCATTGTAAAGATATTTCCTACTGTAAAATTGCACTGACACCTCAGTCAGTATAAAACCATCTCCTATCTTCAGAGAGAATTATGGTGGCTGTCCTTGGCTTGGGATACTCAGGAATACATCATATTCCTATATTCCTATACACACACACACACAAAAGACAACGCCAGTTTGTGACCCGTGGTAGGTACCTATTTAAAAGAGGACAGAGCCGTAGGCACACAGTCAGTTAAAAAGGGTTTAATTTTTAATACAAAATAAAAGTAACAGTGTAACAGTGGCACCTAAAACAATTAAAACTTTACTTTATTAAATACGATTTTAAAAAATGACAAAATTGTATGATTGCCCGTGAGACAGGATAGGCTCTGCGGGGAACCGGTTAAGAACAAATCAACATACCACACACGTTAAAAAGGGACGGCAACTCACACAGAACCCCAAATGGGCAAGACACTATAAAAAAAAAAAGAAAAGAGAGCAAACCTTCAGTGCTGTCTTCATTCGGGCCCACCGCGGTGTGTGCAAAACGCGGCAAGACAAAAAAGGGATTTGTTTTCCACGCAGCGCCTTCACCGTCTGCAGCGATATCTCTCTCTCTCTCTCTCTCTCTCTATATATATATATATATATAGATAGATAGATAGATAGATAGATAGATATTGTAGAAATGTTTAGCTGATTTAGAGTTTAGAAATGTGTTAACATAGAATTTAGAATTATTGTAGAGACACTGACACTGCCCTCAATGTAATAAAGGCCTGATTGTGTCATGAACTTAGGAGTAGAGTATAGGAGACCCTCCCCAGTTGAGCTGTGAAAGTAAAACAGAGAGGAGTTAATGCTGAGTGGAAATTCCCCAGAGAATGTTTGGGTGGGGGTCTCAACATTTGACCTTGATAACTGTGGTCTGGAAGGGAGATGGGTTTTTTATGACCTCTAGGGAGTCACCTACACCCACAGTGTTTTAACTGTCACGCACACACATCCACACACACACACTCACTCATGTGCGCTCACATAGGCATTCATGTGCTCGTGCACATAGACACAGACAGAGTTTGCAGCACACCGTGGGGGGGTTTTATGATAGGGTCGCCCCTACAAAACTGTGTTTCACAGACAAAGGAGTGAAGATTTTGCAGAGGGACACACCGGCCTCGTCTTCCATTCTAGAAGTGCATGCTTAAATAAAGATGAATAAAGGTTTTGTGAAATAACTACTGAGTTCCGGTGCCGTCTCTGGATGCCTCGACGAATAAAAGAACAGGGGTAAAACTGATTTCGCAACAATATATAGATGTATAGAGATATATAGATATAGATATAATCACTAAATCAAGTACTTGCTGAGCTATTCTTACCTTCAGTACTCATTAACTAAAGGTGCAAGAACACTGCTGCAGATCCCACACTAACACCTGACAGCAGTGTTTAAAAGGTTTGGGGTAATGTGGCCAGTAAGCCTACTTGCTTTCCTGGAAATCACAGGACTTCTGGGAATCACAGCTTTCTTACTTTCACTTTTACTATGTTGTGGGAGGGGTTTCTAGTGGTCTCATCCTATAACTGGGGAGCACTGCGAACATTTCTGATAAGACTGCAACAGGCTGCAGAGCAGGCTGAGCTGAGGAAGCACACAGTAAAAGGTAGGTTTACATATCATGATATGTTGTTTTGAATTCAGTCTTAAATATTGGCAAATTTTGTTCTCTGGTGACTCTGAACCCAAAAAGGGTGACACTGTGCTTTTATAAAAGGGATCAGTAGAAGAGAGGAGGTAAATGACACAAATGTTCAGAAGCTTGTTTCCGCTGTACTTTCTAAACAATCTCAGTGCTTCATGTTGTGACATTTCTTCTGTAGACAGAATAAAACAAGTGAGTTCAGCCTGAACACACACACACACACATGCTCTCACATTTAGAATGAGTTGTTTAATAGAATGTATTTATTTATGTGTGTTTATTTATTTGTGTATTTTACAAATTCTCTTACAATTGTGCATTTTCTTTAATGCTATTGGGTTTTACAGAGATAACACTTGTAATTATTTATATGTCAGTAATAGAAAAATAAATAAATAAACAATAAAAAGGATAAAAGAACTATCAACAAAGTGCAACATCGAAAGAAAAATTCATCAATCATATTATTAAAGAGGACAACAAACTGCAAGCTGGTTTTCATTAAAAGTAATTGTTCTCCTCTAACCTGGAGCATTAATGTCTCGGGTCTCTAAATGTAGCTGGCTGTGAGACAAGTGTGCAAGCACTGTTTGCAAAGGCAAGGCAAGGCAAGGCAAGTTTATTTGTATAGCACAATTCAACAACAAGGTGATTCAAAGTGCTTTACAGAGACATTAGAAACAAGAACAAATAAAAAGCATGATTTAAAATTGATTAAAACAAGCAAATAAACTAACTAACTAATTAGCAAACAAACAAACAAACAAACAAACAAAACAGTATATAAAATCAAAACAGATAAAATCAGAACAGTAGATAAAATCAGTAGTTAAATGTAAGTTTTGAAATTTAAGCTTAAAAGTGTGGATTTGGTGCTTTATTCAAATGCAGCTGAGAACAGGTGAGTCTTCAACCTGGATTTAAATAAACTGAGTGTTTCAGCTGATCTGAGGCTTTCTGGGAGTTTGTTCCAGATATAAGGAGCATAAAAGCTGAATGCAGCTTCTCCGTGTCTGGTTCTGACTCTGGGAACTGATAAAAGACCGGATCCAGATGACCTGAGGGATCTGGAAGGTTCATACTGGGTCAGGAGGTCATTGATGTATTTTGGTCCTAAACCATTCAGAGCTTTATAGGCCAGCATCAGAACTTTAAAGTCTATCCTCTGACGGACAGGCAGCCAGTGTAAAGACCTCAGAGCTGGACTGATGTGGTCCACTTTTTTGGTCTTAGTGAGTACAAAGTACAACACTAAGAGTAATATTCTCATTGTACAAGTTGGACAAAGGAGCAAAGTGACATTCGGAACTAAATTGTGTGCACATCAATCTTTCTGCAAAATTTAGGTGCCCTCGGGTGTTGAAGAACGGAATCACATGTTAATCTATTCTGTTAATCTATTCCTGAGGACAATGAAAGTAGGAAATAACCCCTAAACTGAAAATTTTCGTGCAGAATTATACTACATGTATACTTAAAAGTAGTACTTGTTATTTCAAATACTAATGTTACATTTTGCTCTATTTTCCTTTGACTGTAATAAGATGGAAGATAACAATGATAACACAGCAGCTGGAGAGGGAGGAGAAAGTGAAACCAATTCTGTGACAAAGAACAAAGGTAATCAGAATTTTTTTAAAGAACATTTGTTAAAAATGTTGATGATACTACTGATTTGATAGTTTAAACTTCAGTTGTTTTTGTAATTTTTGTTTGTTTGTTTGTTTGTTTAAGAAAAGCTTTATACCGCTTCAACAACGCCGTTTTTATAATCTGTAGTGTAATCTACTGATGTTCTTGTGTTTGTTTCAGAGCTGCCTAAGCTCACACTTTTGTTAATTGGTGACTCAAACGCCATTGAGATTGGACCAAAAAACGTCTTACTTGACCATGAAGAGAGAAGAAACGTGGAAGAGTTTTCATCCAAACTGTGTGATTTGTGTGGTCGACACATCTCTGTCATTAACATGCTTGGTTTAGAAAACCTTGAAGAATTCCCGGTAAACCAGGGAAATCATGCCTTTCTATTACTGTTACCATATGGTCTGCATAACAGCCATTACAGCTCGAGAGTTCAGCAGCTAGAAAGAGCTTTTGGGAAAAGATCTCTTCTTAATGTAATGACAGTTGTGACTCATGGGCCAGGGGAAAAATGTGAAAGTGCACTGGCAGACCTGAAAGCTCACAGCGGTTTTAATGAAAAAAGATTCCACACATGTACAAGATGCATGACAGATGCCAACGACATAATAGATCTGTTAGAAAAAATAGATGTCATGGTCTCTGAGAACAACTGCTGCAGTGAACGTGAAGAGCAGAGAGAACACCTGGACTGCAAATGTGACAAGGAAATACGGATCAGACATGGTGAGATTTTAATGTGTATAACTGGATTAATTATTATATTAAAGCGAGGATTTGAACATTTTGGAAAAAAGTTTGGTAATTATATTTGTAGCATTTGGGTTTTTGAGGGAATGCTGTATTTCTTTTTAATTTTATGAACACTTGATCCTGAATTTGTCCTCTTGTGGAGTTATGTAATAATGACGTGAGATCTTATCACATTTTACAACTTTAATCTCAGCTTCACTCAGCTGGTTTCACAAGGTGGCAAAACATATCTTAGAACCCAGAAACATTATTCCTCCCACTTTCTTTCTTGCTGGGTGTGAGTGGAGTCCCCTGGTGGTCTCCTACATTCTCACAATGCTTACTAAATGAAAGGGTTTTGTTTTTTTGTTTTTTTAAATTATTATAGTTTTTGTTTATTTTTTTTCCTTCAAATGGGAATAAAATTAAAAAGCAGCTTCACTGCTGATCACAAACCACATACAAAATAATTAAGGACAAGACAGAAACTAATCACAGAATAAGGACTCAGGGTAATTAAGCCAAAAGCACATAAGACAAAAGACTGTCAAAATAAGACATGAAATAACTATCACTGAGACCAGGCCTAAGACAGAAGCTAAACCATCACAGACAGCACACTAGAAGAACAGAATGAGAATGCAAGAGGTGATTAACAAACCTATTGTCAATTAGGTGAGGAACTTAAGGCACAGAAACCGGGAAATTAATAAATATATAAGGACTATAAACATCACACCATAATAACTAAGAAATAACACAAAAATAAATAACAATACAAACACTACACAAACATGATTAAGAATCCAAAGCTAGAGAAAACTCAAAATATCCCCAAACCTAAAACTCTTGGTCCAGTATTTTTTAAATATTTTGTAAAGACTTGATGTGTCTTTTCACAAAGTGCTCTATATCTGCAATAACATCATATAACTTACACAATTAATGAATACTGCAAAAGGAAAAAAATTAAAGGGTCGGTTGGATGAGAAAATTTCAACATATAATGAATATATAGTAGGTGACTCTTGTGTTATAAAACTATGCAATGACCTGGTCCAATCTTTTTCTTCTTACATAATCCTTCATCAGAAGAGAGGGAGAATCTGACTGAAAATCTAAAGGTAAGATTTTTTTTTTTCATGGACTTCACATTCATTACAGCAATAAAAAAAATTTAAAGCCCTTTTAGTTCAGACTTTTTCTAACTGAAAAGTTCCAGCTTTGAAAGATAAAATTTGGAACTTTGCATATTTTTACTATACTGTTGTTGCTGTCTGTCCTGTTGATCTTAATTTTTTTTTTTTTTTTATGTACGTGGAGGGTCTTTCCGTACACTAAAAAAAGAGCATGTTGGATTTACTTAATTCTATAGTGGACATTGGTTGCACACAATTGTTTTGCTTTAGCAGAAACATAAACAACTTAGTCAAATCAACACAAATTATTCATATTAAATAAACCTGTGCATTTTTTGTTGATGAAACGGGATTGAAACATATTTAGATGAAGCAAGTTGAGGTCTTGGAATATTTTCATCTATCACAATTTTGTAATTTTAGTCCAACACTATTCAATAACCTTTACCCCAATACTACTTGTTAGAGCCAATCTATAGAGAAATATTTTTGATACTGTTTCCGTCCTTATGTTACATGTTTGATTTTGTATAATATGTTGTTAGAGAATATATGCTGCATGTTTGATTTGTGTCGGGTAGGAAAACATTACGGCGCATGTGTGGTAGCAGGTCAGAATGAGCCAGGACAGCAATGGAAATGTGAGCTGCAGCAGCAAATAGTTTTTTGACCGTGACATCATTTGTTTGTATGTACGAGTCAGAAATAAATCTGGACAGCTCACATTAAGAAGTGGAAGAATTCTTTTTTCAAAGCTTGAGACAGAAATTTGCCACTACATTACTTGGCCACTTAAATACTACATGTTGTCTTTATATTACTTAATGTTGAACAAAGTCTAGAGTGTGGCTAACATAAAAAGCAATTGGATTTACAATGACTACCATCCTATCTTTATCCGGGTTGCAGAGGGGCTGGGGCATATCCCAGAAGTGAAAGGTTAAGAGGCAGGATACACCCTGAACAGTTTACCAGTCTATCACGTAGAGACAAACAACCATTTGCACTCACATTCATGGGCAATTTGGTATCACCAATTAACCTAGTTCTAATTGCATGACTTTTAACTGTGGGAGGAAACCAGAATACCCAGAGAAAACCCACTGTAAACTAGTGAGAATGTGGATTTGATCTTCTTGCTGTGAGGCAATAGCACTAGCCACCATGCCACCAATCCAGGCTTAATGAAGTACGAAAGCTATGATTTCTGTACGTTTTTGTCCTTGACAGGTTAAACCACAATAAATAGCGATAGCATACATTTGATGTGTGTAGTTCTCTGCCACTTACAACTCGAGTGATTTTCCTGCAGTTTAAAATCTCATGTGATCTTGTGAATTTCACGAGTCCAGCAACTAACCACTCTGACTAGATTGTATCATGTCATCTAAACAAGAACAAATTAAGTTGTTGAATTTCTTATAGATCCTACATGATTTAATTATGTTCACCATAGAAACGTGAAATTATTTTGTTCAAATTATAAGACTTTTGTAAATGTAACAACCACCCAATGTCCTTTTTCGGTATACCGAAAAAAGTGCTGCTCGACTTGACTGAGATGGATGCCTTCCTCAAACCACAATCCAAAGTGCGCAAGATGAAATCACATGCAGTGTTGCAAGATTTAACATTCCTATATTATTGACTTACTTCACTCGAACATGATATGAACAATTCAATATACCCTCTCTGCATATCATGTAGTTTCTACACTATATAGTTACACTTAACTTTAAAGCATGAGGCACTTGTGCTGAATAAACGCAAGATGCTTACATAAATCCAAGAGATGGCCATTCTCTTTCATCATCTGCTGCTAATAAACATCCAACAAGTTCACTGTGAATCATTCCGGTTTGCTGATAAATGCATGATTTTATGTATGTATATTGGGACAGTGAACCCCGAGTGGCTCCAGCAGATCCCAGGAACAACATCTGAAGTCTCTGTCCAGAAAACCTTTCTTAGCCCTTGGTTTTTGTTGACCTTCTCACATCCCTTCTTCTGATGTTGCTATTACTTAGCATTGCTACGTCAATCACAACAACCTTCTTACTCTGGTTTTCCACCACTACATATGCTGGATCTATTTTTTTTTTCTGTCCACTCTGGTGCTGTAATAATGTGAATTGTCCAAGTGTTGGACTAATGAAGAATAAACTTAAGTTGTTTAAAATAATCCTTTTCATAGTGTGAGTCTTTGAATGGACCTGGAGTTGCTGGACACTCCCAGCAGAATGATGGCAGCGCAGGGGGAGAAGGTGGACACAAGACTGTATCAGCTGAAACTGAGGAGAAAGGTAACATCTTATTGAAAAATTACATTGCATGCTTACTAATTCAAAGGTTTTGTTTTTTTCTTTAACTTGTTTTTTTTTCCATATGGTAGAACTTACTGCTCTTGCTGTAACAGAATGAGGCAACAGTGTAGAGTTGGATGTTATTCTAGCCGTTGCCCTCTTCTGACCCCGGAGTTTGTATCATAGCCAGTATAAAAGATTGATGTAGTTTCGAGGTCAGAAAAAGGAAGCCATTTTGAAAGTGCCTTAAACCATTTTCTAGCTGAAGACCTCTAATGGCAGTTGCTGTTGTTGCAAATAGACTTCCTGTTTCATTGATCTGTAGGAAATGGCTTTCTGTCTTGGCGGTTTGGCAAACAACTTGTCAATCTCAACTCATTACTAGAAAAGTGTGTGGTTTCGTAGTCATCCCCATCCATTCATATCACATCCAGGTTTTTGCAAATGAAATGCAACAAGTTTGCAAACAATCATCTTGAGCCTTCAAAATGGGACTTCTGAAACCAGTGATCGAGATCCCAGTAGCTGTATCCATCTTTTTTACTGAATATAGTTTTCGTGCAGTTGATATTATGAGGTTTGTACCCCTTAAAAACATAGCAGAGGAAAGATGGCGCTCTCTTCTGAATTTCTGAATTACAACTGCAAGCTATTTTTAAAATCAGTGATTTTCATGAAAGGGTGTATCCTTGGCAGCATGGTGAATTTCAATGTTTCACCATGAATTATAAAACTTTTCTGTGCTCTGTCGAATCTGCACTAAAATTCATAAACATGATGAGGGTCTCGTCCCAAACAGATTGATATGCTCGTTATCAGCAATAAGTTAGAGTGCCACCTAGTGGGAACGGAAAATGTAATTATTAGTGTGGATGCTGATGAAGCATCCACAATATTGTTCTTGTATTCTTTACTTTTATCCTTATATTTAATACTTTGATCCACGGCTCCTTCCAGGTTAAACACATCTGACTCAAAAGTGGTCTGAACATCAGACCTTGATGATGCTTCAAGATTTTAATTTTGAGTTTTGATTGAACGGTATACCCTGGCGGTTTTGCACTTCTCCATGAAAAGGGAAGCAGTTTTTGCGGGTCTTAGACAGCTTGAAACGCCATGAAATTTGGCACACGCCTCCAATTTAATTAACATTTTAGCTTTTATTGCTCTGGTCATTGAATATTGGAAAATGGCTCCATTAAACCATCTATAAAATCTTTAAACATCTGCACCTGCACTAACTTCCATCTATGACTCAGAAATTTTGCAGCCTTGGAGCCATAAAAGCACATTAAAAATAATGTGAAATTTTGGTTGCAATTTTCACAGTTTTCAGACCTCATTTTAAACTAATACTCTTTGAATTAAAACTCCTCCAAGGAATTGCATCAGGTTAACATGATCTTTGGTGCCACCAATCTAAAGATCTTGGGGATATTAAATTGCAAAGTTTTTGAGCTGGTGTGGCAGCATGTTGAATTTCAATCATTCACCACAGAACACGACATTGTCAAATCCCAATTATACATTGTCCAATATGATCCAAACTTTACATACTTGATGGGAGTCTGAGTCTCAAAACATCTATGTATCAGTATTAGGTCACAATTATTGTGGCACCTAGTGAAGATAGGAAATATAGAGTGAGTTATGGTCATCATCCAATCTAGATGAAATTTGAAATGCTGATTCCATCCATGATGCACACCAATGTGACATTTGATTAGTATCTACATTTCCATCTACCGGGCATAAAAATGTTTATGGTTTGTTGTGTTGCAAGGGCCTTTTAATCACTGCTTTCAGCTTCATTCGTCTTGTTTTTACTTCAGAGCACTGTAAAGCTGTAGGGATCATTTCAGAGCTTCCTTCTCAATTGTTGTTTTAGCAAAAGGCTTGGTATTGGCTATAAAGCATCAAAAATTAGAAAGACAATGCAAAGCAGATGGGTTTGATAAGCATATGCAGACACCCCACAACTGCACAATCTGGTCATAAATTCTGAGTATTGTGCTGTTATCTTCTTTTAACAGACTAGAGCTGCTTACACTTGTCAACTCTTTTTTCCCTTGTGTTTCTTGGGCCAATTAGTTTGTTTCTTAGTTCCATCATGGAGCCTGATTCATGCAGTCTGCTCAGAAGAGGTCAAATATAACTGATGGTCACAACATGATAAGAAGAAAAAACAAAAACAGAAAAAATAGTAGATGTCTTCAAACTTTGTACTGTTAATACTTCCATGGTGAATTAATCTCTTTCTCTCCATGTCATAATTAAATCTGTTGTGCAGGTGCCTTCAAGGATGTGAGTGGAAACAAGGATAAGGTCAGAAACATATACTATTTTGCATGATGTTAGTGATAAAATGTTATAATTTCTGCCAATTAGTAAATTTCATTTTTTTAAACTACAGACTTTTAATATTTCTGATGAGAGGAACAGTCAACGATTTCAAGCAGAAAGTGAAACACTGCTCAGAAGACTCAACCTTCAACACAAACAACAGAAAATGTCATCAGCAGACTTTCTTAAATTAGGCCCTCCTGTGAAACAGGGCCATGACACATCTGAGAAAGATCTAGCTCATACATTTATTCAGAGGTTGATGATGTTAGACTACAGAGCCAGACATATTCAGGTAAAACAAGACAATCCTGGTGTGAGTTATTCACAGTCTGTTCCAGTGTCTGACAGTGAAGACTTTGATGATTTATTTAGTGACAGTGTAGACTCTGATAACTCAATACAATCTCATGTGCATCCAATGGATGTTCAGATGGCAGTATTTCACTGTTCAGATAACTTTCTGAAGCAGAACATAATTACAAAGCTATCACAGTGTCAGTACGCCTTACCTTTGCTTGTCCCTGACTCAGTCACTATGGATACTGAATGTCCTCTGTGGACATTCAGGCAAATAACAAAAACATGGAAGATAGCTAAAATCAAAGATAATTCAAATGTTGTCAACATGAAGACAATGCCCATCTGCAAAGCCGAGACACCCATGGTGTTTTTCTTTCGCTTGGGTTCACTGCCAGTGTCAAAATCTCAGCTCATGAACACTTTGATCAATGACCGTCACAGCACCTTCTTCCACAGGAACTGCCCAGGTAGCACCAAATCTCGCCTGCTGATGGATGGTGTGGCAGAGATTGCCTGGTACTGTCCAGCCGGAAAACCCAATGACTCCTTCACAGACTGCACTGCCTTTTGTAATCTTCATGGTGATGCTCTGTCATTTGAAAAACAGCATAAGATACTGACAGAAAAATCATCAGTCACTGTTGTTCTTGTGCCGACTCTGGAAAAAGGCCAGAAAAGTACCACAGTAATCCAAGACCTTTACGAGTCACCAAAGCCTTTGATTATTCTCATTGCTGATAATGATTGTGGTGCTCTTCAAGTGAAAAAGAGAAAATACAAAATGGGTCTGAAAGACAGAAGCCAGTCAGATGTTTCTGAAGGATTGAAAGGAATTATCAGAAAGATTTTACATGAACCTGATAATACATCCTTCCAGCTTGAATCCTTGGCCAAAGTCCCTGGAGTCAGAGTGGATGAAGATGATGAAGTCTGTCAAAAAGGGAAATCTGCTGCATTGAAAACAGTTAATATGCTTCAAGGGATGGACATTTCAAAGATCAAAGTTACATTTCTACCTTGTCAAGGTGATCTGTGGCATGAGTGGTGCAGAATAAATAAAGAGCTGTATAAACTTAAAGGAAACATTGAGAAGGAAAAAAGTCAGAAACAGCAGCAGCTGATGCAAATAAGACAAACTCAATGCAGCAAAGCTTCATGTAATGTACTGATGAAGTCATTCACAGAAAGCCTCTTGTCTTTGCCATCAAAACAGAAGGAGTACTTCCTGAAATGGAATCAAATCTTAATAGATGCCCTATCCACAGATGATCTTTCTTTGATTCTTCAAAGCTATGATGAAAAGTGGACTGAGCTCTTGACTCTGAAAAAGAAACACGACAAATCTGATCTGTTAACAAGTAAACAAACTGAGCTTGAAGAAATCTCCAAAACACTGCAGTCTGCAACCTTTGGCCTGGAACACATCTTCAGAGAAATGGGACAGATCTATGAAGCCCACAGAGAAATACCAGCAGAGAGCAGAGCAGTAAAACCAAAACATACAAACACTGAGTGGGTTAAATACCCTGAACTGGCTGCAGATCTGATGATTTCAGGATACCCAGTGGAGCTGATGGATGGTGATGCAGGTCATGTGCCTCTAACATGGATCTCTGGTCTTTTAGATGAAGTTATCAAGAAACTAGGCGACCAGAGAGTTTTTGTGTTGTCAGTTTTGGGCGTACAAAGCAGTGGAAAATCAACAATGCTGAATGCCATGTTTGGATTGCAGTTTGCAGTGAGTTCAGGCAGGTGCACCAAAGGTGCCTTCATGCAGCTGGTCAAAGTGTCAGAGGAAATCAAGAAAGACTTCCAGTTTGACTATTTTCTAGTGGTGGACACTGAAGGACTTCGTGCTCTTGAGCTGGCAGGAAATAGTACTCGTCATCATGACAATGAATTAGCAACATTTGTTGTTGGTCTGGGAAACATGACACTGATCAACATCTTTGGTGAGAATCCAGCTGAGATGCAGGATGTCCTGCAGATTGTTGTTCAGGCTTTCATGAGGATGAAGAAAGTTAAACTTTCTCCGAGTTGTGTGTTTGTTCACCAGAATGTGACAGATATCGCAGCTGCTGAGAAAAACATGGATGGGAAAAGACGCCTGCAAGAAAAACTGGACCAGATGGCTCAACTAGCTGCTAAAGAGGAATCATGTGATGCTGAGTGTTTTGGTGATATCATTTCCTTTGATGTGCAAACAGATGTGAAATACTTTGCTCAGTTATGGGAGGGAAGTCCACCGATGGCTCCTCCAAATCCAGGCTACAGTGAGAGCATCCAAGAGCTGAAAAACATCATCCTGTCTAAAGCTAAACAATTTGCTGGCGTAAAACTGTCCCATTTCAAAAGCAAAATTGATAACTTGTGGAAAGCCCTGATGAATGAGCACTTTGTTTTCAGCTTCAAAAACACATTGGAAATTGCAGTTTACAGAAAACTTGAGGTTGAATATGGAAACTGGACCTGGGCCCTGAGGAGCAACATGCTGACTATTGAAAACCAGCTTCATACCAGAATTGAAAATGAAGAACTTGACAAAATTAAGCGTAGTGATATTTTTAAAGAAATGAGCAAAACATCTGAAAAAATCAAGAAAGATATGTCAAAGTACTTTGAGGATGACAAAGACAACGAAATACTGGTTCAGTGGAGAGGCCAATTTGAAAATAAAATAAAGGAGTTCCAAGAGGAACTGGTGAGAGGAGTGGAAAGAAAACTGGATGAAGTTATTCAGCAGAAGAAAGCTTGTAAAAAGCTGGATGATAAGAAGACAGACTTCGAGGACAAGCTGCTACAAAAGAGTGAAGAGCTCGCTCATCAGTTAAAAGACAAAGCAAAAGATGAAGAGAAACTTAAAAAACAGTTTGATGGTGTTTGGAGTGACTTGGTGAGAGAATTAACTACAAATATGCAACCCATTAAGGACATCAATCTTGAAGATGACCTGGCAAATATCCTTCATATCCTTGGTTTCGAATGGGGTCTTATAATTGACTCTAAAAAGAGTAGCAAATACAAAACAATATCCCAGGTCAGTGATTACACTGAATACGTAGTCCTTCGCAAGCACCAAAACACAAGAGGACAGGGGTTTGCCAGCCAAGTGTATGAAAAACTAAAGTGTCACATTAAAGGACTTCTTGAGCATGGGGACCAGGGACTGATCATATCACTAATAACCAGTGTTGAAAACCAGTCTCTTCATGAAATTATGAAGAAACCTGTAGCAACAAGAGGCTACAGTTCAGCTTACTTACAAGAAGTGGCCCAAAATGTTCAGCGGACAGTGACAGAGTTTGAACAAAACAAGAAGTATGCTTTCAAGAAGGAGTTCACAGTTGATCTCCTACTGTATGTATTTGACAGGGCAGCGACTTGGCTTTCAGAGTCTCACAAAATATTCACAGTGAAAAATGATGCACACACTTACTTGGAGAGTAAAAAACCACAATACTACAACATTTTTAGAAGCTTCTGCAAAGGAAACTCATCTGCTGTTGTGTTTGGAGAAATGATCTGTGAAAAACTGAGGGTTTCCATTGTTGAAGCAGTCTGTAACAAGACTGCCATTGATCTCGCTGGAGAGATGAAGTGCAGCTACCCAGCATTCAGTGAGAACAGACTGAACTTAGAGAAACATTTGTTGAAGTCACTTGCAGAGAAAGAGGACTTTGATGCTTTCATCACCTACATCAGAAATCCAAAGAAGCAAGTAGAAGCTTTTATCAAAGCGAGAGTAAACACATACATGTCCGGAGAATCAAAAGATGCAGCATTGGATATACTCAGGAAAAATGTGGATGACATCAACAAACTTGTCAGTCAAGCTTTATTTGATGCAACAAATCAAGTCACAACACAGAACGGAGACATTTACATGTGGGTTAAGGAGTTTTCCAGGTTCCTTAAAGATAAACTGACCCTTGGTACCATCTCTTGTCAAAACTTTGGGGACATAAACAATTTTGACTTTCTTAAAGAAGAGATTGAGAAAGGTCTTATATCCATCAAAGAGGAGATGAATCGGCTTTCCCTGGATAAGATAAAGGAATTCAGACTGAGACCTGATCAAATCCTCATTGATCAGCTGTGTGACTGTTGCTGGGAAACCTGCCCGTTCTGTAGAGCTGTTTGTACCAACACTGTTAAAGATCATGTGATTAAGGACAAAATTGATCACAGTTGCCCCTTTCATCGATCTAAAGCAGTCAATGGTGTGCATTACAGAAACACTACGGAAATTAGTATTAATTTCTGCACAACAGAAGTTGCAAGTGATAGAAGCTTTTACCCAGATGGAGTTTCAGAAGAGCTTTTTCTTTATAAAGATTACAGAAAAGCTGGGCCGAGGTTTGCTAACTGGAGCATTACTCCTGATGAGTATACATCGAAGTACTGGATATGGTTTGTTTGCAAATTTAAGAAGAGGCTAGAAGAGCACTATGGTTTAAGTTTCACAGGACGTGGTGAGATTCCCCCTAAATGGACAGAATTCACTAAAGAAGAGGCTATTCAAAGTCTGGATGAAATGTACCGTACACGCTGAATGAGTCAGCACATTTTCAACTCTGCTGAAAATCACAAAAGCTGTTCTCAGTTGATTATTCACAAAATGGATAATGATTACATATAATATTGATTTAAACATTTAATGTGAAGAATCAATAAGTGATTAAACTGGTAAAAAGAAAACTGCTTCATAGACATGAACACACAGGCAAGAATATTGGAACAATAATCATTTTGAGAATGCAGTGAGAAATATGTCAGTGTTAATATTAAATCACTGTGTAATCAACAAAGTTTGTGATTAGGAAATTTTTCTCATGTAGGAAAAGCAGAAGAATTTTTTTTATTTATTTTTGAAGAAAAACACAAAGAGCACCAATGAAATTATTGTATGTAAGGATGGTTTAAAATTGTATTTAATCATATCTGAAATTTCTTAACTTTAGCTCATGCAGAATACACGAATAGTGTTCTTCATACCCTATTTTTTTGATATTGTATGGAAGTTATATTAGTTTGCTAACTGGCTTATGTAATTTGAAATCACACCAATATTTTCTTGAGTGTTTCAGTACTGAAAATCCTATATTCTCTATATCCTTGAATGTTTTATTATTTGCATTTTAAATGGGTATGATTTTTTTTTAAATTAACACGAACAGAGAGATATTATATGCTTCTGATACATTAAAGCTATTTTTCTGCTGCTCCTGTGTCACAAGGGTTCACTGCACCAAATAGCTCCTCATGCTTGATTTTGGTTGAGGTTTAAGCCAGATGCCTTTCCTTGTGCAACCCTGAAAGGGTCTGTAGCTGGAAATGAACCAACAACACTTTTGTTTGTCAAACAACTGTGTAGATCACTACACAATGGAAATATTTTCTCTCAATTTAACATAGCTGAACATTACACTGAAATTGAGATTATTTACCTGGTGGTACATCCATAATAAATGTGCACTGAGAAAAACTGAAGTGCCTCAGCATCTGCCAGACTGACCCCACAGCCAGTGATCTATCTGTGCAGCATCTATCCATTTTCTTAACTGCTGGTCTGATTCAAGGTCGTGTGTTGCACCATACATACAGAATATTAGAATATTTGTTGGAAAGCATACCTTTAATGACATGTTTTGGTAAAACGTTTGGAGATTTTTCTTTGGTTATAACTGCAATGTAATTATCAGACTGATAATAAACAGATGATGTTCCATTCTTCAAGTCGCTGATCGTCTGTGTCTTTTATCCAATATGTACAAAGCTATCACAGTTTACCTATAACTATAAATACATGATCTTAGTCACAGCTTATAATTGTGGTGGAAGATTTATTTGCTGATGTCTTGATCACATATTTTAACTATATCACTTTAGTAATTGTAGAATCACTACAAATGGAACTTATGCTCGATCCAACATACACAATGGGCTCGCTCGGGCCACTTTGGGGGTGGGGTGCCCTCGGCCTCTCAGCCTGGGGCTCAGTCGGTCACTCTGGCACAGCTGGCTGCCGGCGGAGCTCACGGGCACGTCACTGCAAGCTTTTCGGATGAGAGGCGAAACGTCTTCAAGTAACTTAAAGAAGTCCAGACGCTTTTCTTTGCGAGCTCCTTTGACTAAGATGACCTGGATGACTGAGAACCTTCACAGACCTCTAGTAGATCATTACATGAAGGAACCTTTTAAAAACAAGCGTGCTCATGCTCACAGGTGTAAACACACACAAACTACACCCTTTTTGGCTCCTACCTCAAACCACACTGTGCACTGTCGATCTTACGTGCTGCACAATAATGTTTAATATTTAGTATTTACTGTTATATTCACGTCGCGATGATGTTGTTTATTATATTGCTCTCTTTTTTCTTCTGCTTGTTCTCTCTTTTGTCTTTCTCAACAGGTGATCCAGGTGATTGATATTTGTATTTTTTGTCTGCTTATTTTGTTGGTTTTTGTTTTTTGCCCTTAACCCCGTCCCTCTGTTTTTCTTTCCTTTCTTTCTCCCTTTTCTTTTCCCCAGTTAAGTCTGTCCTGTATTTAGCAAGTGAAAATAAAATAAAATAAACAATAAAAGGTGACTCAAATAGACCATTACGGCAAGGCTGGGATGGTTCATTTGGTAAAGTCAATCCGTTGGGCATCTTTCTTCACCTTTACACAATAATTCTGATGGCAAAAGAACCAAACGGGACAGGCAAAAAAGAAAACAAAAACAAAAATAACATACACAATGGGGCCATTGTAAGTTCATGGGAGACATTAAGCGGATAGTAGGGCTCCTTCTGGTTATCAGGGATGTAGATCTCTAGGTGACAGCTAAGCAGAAAACAAGGTCGTAATTCTCTCTCTCTGAAGAGAGCTGAAGGTATAGACTCACTTGATGTGTTAAGGAATTTTCTTTGTCTCTGAGTTTGGTCAAAGCACATAAGACATGAGCAACCGCGCCCATTTTCAGAGACTGCTTAGGTGATTGACCAGAGTCTCTCCATATTGCAATATGTTATCAAACTCACTTCAAATCATGCTCACTGAGGTGTTTGCAGGTTTTATTTAAAATTTCCACAACATAATTCAGCAGGATTCCAATACCAGATGGCTTTATTGATTTGACTGATATATTTCAGGGGTGGCCAACTCCAGGACTACTTTTTTTGTTTGGAACTTAAAAGGCCCACCAGTTAACCTAACATGCATTTCAAAAGAAGTTGGAAACCTATGGAGGCACAAGTAACATACAAACTCCACATAGAAAAGTGTTAACTAGGAACCCTCGTGCCCCACATGCATTTTGTATGATTTGGAGCCATTTTTCTCTGCATGTTTACATGACTATAAATAATTAGTTACTGGATTTAGCAAATAACTACTATATTTGCATTTTCTTCTATTGTTCCGTGTCATCATACTTTTACCCTTTCATGCTTTGACTTATACTGTGTTTGTGAGAGGCTGCAAAACCTTAAAGATGACAAAACATGATTATTTGACTGTAAACATTTTATATCCTTTTGCACAACAGGACATTTTAATCCACTTAAATGTATCAATTTCTCTTTATCTCTTAATGATTCTTCAGTCAATAACTGACTGTTATTGTAAGAATAACATTCAGACAGTCAAACCTCATCTATAACTAAAGTGTTAAACACAGCATCTGTTTACAGTTGTATCTCTTAGCAGATCTTGAAGGATTTCAGTTTAAAGTCTCCTGTGACTCTGATGTAGCTGATGGTACCCATACCAACACGATTTGGAAACTGGACTTCCTGTCCATCAGGAAGTTCCACTTCAAACGTGTCTTCAGCCAGTTTCAACACAATCTGAAACAGAAGAAAAATTCATAAGAAAACATTTTTTCCAAAACACAATCAATTCCAACCCAACCTTCATCCCCCAGCTTAATATCTGCAAAAGTATTGGTGTGTTTTTTGTGTTTTATGTGGGTAAACCAAACATCCATTTGATCTAATCAAAAACCTTTGTGATATTCATAATACTCAGACACTCAGTACATCATCAATTACTTCGATCACATTCCCTCACCTTCACATCAGCACCCCTCTGTAGGGGGTTGTGAATTTCCCGTTTTTCATCGCCCCAGCAACCAGCAATCTTTGAGTTGCACACCAGCACAGCACCATCAGTGTCATCATGGAAACGAGGGTTGAAGTGCAGTGCCAGGTCATCTGCATCACAGCCAAGATCAATCTGGAATCTGTTGATCAGAGGTTGTACAAACTATGTTTTAATATCAATGGCTTGCAGAGCTTTGAACACATGATCACACAGTGGAATACAAGATATAATATAATTTGTAAAAGTCCACTTTGTGCTAGATTGGATTTTCCTACTGCAGGATTAACAGCATATGTAGCTTTCATTCAGTTTATATGGTTACTGTACTGAAAAAATAAATGTTATGAGTTTTGTTAGCTTACCTCTCTGCATCATGCAGAATTACCCCTTTTATTTTCAGCTCATCTCCGGCTCTCAAATCCACATTCTTCAGTTCGAGTTCCTGAACACATGGTTAGAATATAATCTGAAGAAGTCTTGAGAATGAAATAACTTTGCATTTTCAGTTTTGCAAATAATTTATTAAAGGGTAAAATGTAGTTAATTTGTTGACATGTAGTGGCATACACAAACCTAAGCTTACCATACTCATACTGGTTGCTGGTGAACAGTCCTGGATGATGGAGTGTCAGCAGAGGTATAGTCTACTGTGCCGGGAGAAAAAAAGGTAAATGGGGTAACTGTGAATTCTAGTTTATTTCTGATGCAAGACATGAGTTTTAGTAAGATTCTCTTTTGACACTGACTCATTCAACATCATACTATATTCAGTACAAGCACCACTCTGTTTAATCACCTGCAACAGCAAATTAGTATATGAACAAATTAGTGTGATTTTTGTATTTTTCATTGGTATTAATTTTGCATATTAATGAGGGCCTTCAATATACTGCAGATGACTCTAGAATAAAATAATCTATACTAGTGCACCATACCCATGCAATAAGTCTATTTTGCAACAATTGTGTTTGTATGCTTGACATTTAAAATGATCTACAAACAAGATCATTAGTGAAATGTACATCACTTTTTCCATCAAAACAAATCTGTAATAATATTATATTTGACATAATTTCATGCAGGGGCAGGTTGACACTCTAACCACTGGATGGCAGTAAAACGCGTAGTCTAAATTAGAAACAAGCGAATCCTGGAAGGACTTTGATTAAATCTGCTAAAATACAATTACAGTGTTTTCATATGAGCTGATGAGAAGTTTAAAATAAATAATCTGTATCATTTACACTGAGGAATATAGAATTATAGACTGTAAGAAAAAACTAGAAAATGATTATCCAGTCCTTCCTTTTGTAATACGTTTTAACAACAACTTCCGTCATCCTTCCGGAAGTGACAAAATAAAGTAAATAGAAGCTGTCTTTAGATCGAGAAGTTGAGATAATTGCGAATAAAAAGGGCGATTCAAAAAAAAATATTTTGATTTTATGCACACTGAATAATATCTTTATGACGACTCTGTGCGACGCCTAAGAAAGGTAAATTGTTAATGGCCTGCTGACGTTTCAGGGGACAACATTAGCTAAATGCACCTGCTATTAGCCTACAGGCTAGCCGCTAATAATCCAAGTTCCTTACTGACCTCGGTCACTGTAATGAAATCTAACAGTGACTGGTTTGTGTGTGCATGCAGATATATTAAGTGCAACAGTTACATTAATTAAAACGTATTTAAATGGTTGTTGTTAGGATGTTAGCATGCACTGCGGGTTACCAGCTGTTTGCTCTGCTCCAGCGTTTCCTCACTGACTCCACAGCGATTAGATTTGCCGCATCAGGAAAGCAAAGCTGCCAATTTTGGTGATTTTCCGATAGTCCATCTGACTATAAACTACTTTTAAATTCACCGGTAGCTCAAACTCTTAAACGTGTTCTGATTCTCACTCTTTTAATGAGCGTTTCTTTGGTTTCTGATCACTAGATCCAGTTAAAACCTTTGATTTCTGTTTTATTGTACTCTCTCGCAGGTTTCACAGGGACAGGAGTGACGCTGTCCTGCAATGTTCACAGATATGGACTATGAATTGGAGGAGGACAAACTGTGAGTCATTAATGAGCTTTCTCTACCCACCCCGCCGAATCACATATGCTTTTCATACATTATAAACATAAATCATTATTAAACATCTAAAACAGTAACTGATAAGGTGAATGCCTTGATATAAACTGTGATATAGTTCCCTCATTACAGAATGTCCCAGAATAAGCTGAACAAAATGCTTCAAAGCTCAATTAGTGTGGGTTTTTTTCTCTGTCTTAACAGGGGGATACCAACAGTGCCTGGGACTGTGACTCTGAAGAAAGATGCTAATAATCTTATAGGCATCAGCATTGGTGGTGGGGCTCAGTACTGCCCTTGCCTCTACATTGTTCAGGTGCACACAGAATAATTTATTATGACTTTATTTATTAACATGTCATCGATCACCAGAAGTTTCCATCATGCTTTAAATGTTATAAGACTGTATCTGTCTCAGTTTGCTGCTGTTTAGCATACGGGTCATTAAATGCAGCTTATCGCCTCTTATTCAGGAAAAATAACTGTACTTTGTCACAGTACTTTTTTAAAATGCAGTTGCTGTTGCTTTGCAGGTGTTTGATAACACACCAGCAGCTTTGGATGGGACGCTGGCAGCAGGTGATGAAATCACAGGTGTGAACGGGAAAGCAGTCAAGGGCAAAACTAAGGTGGAGGTGGCCAAGATGATTCAAGCTGTGCAGGTACACCGACTCTGAAAGTGTTTATTAAAAACTCAGCATTACACTATTGACCATAACTGCTATTTATCATTACAGTGTGACAAAAATGCACACAGTTTAGAATAATAGTACAGTCATTTTTGCATCTGTAGTTACAAAAACTCTCACCATCTCCATACACACTAAAGAAAAAGATGCATTTGACTGATAGCTTTATTAGCCTTTTCAGATTTTTGGTAGTTGTTGTGATGTGATGATTATTTCCATGGATTATTTTGAATACAATAATAGTGTCATTGCTGTGAAAATCTTATGACAGCCTTGTTGAAATAATGATGTTAACATGAGCCCTATTATTAAACTCTTGTTTTTAATCTTTTAAACCTAAAGACAGCGACTCTTCATACTCACCCTCACCTCTGATGACCAGTGCCCCATAATGAAGAAAAAAAGAACCAAACCACAGAAACACTGTGTGTCATTTAAAAGAAATTTTGAAAAGAATTCAAAGATGACTCACTTTTTTATGTCCAGCACAGTCCAACAGTTAGTGAGATATGAGCCCACCTTCCCACTGTAGACAGGACACTGTAGGAGTGACTTCACTGGTTTGCTAAGCTGTGCTGAAGAGGTCGGGACAATAGCCCGTAGCATGTGGCGTACCGTCACCGGTGAATAGTGGCGCTGTTGTTTTTGGCATCTTTTGTTCACAACCCAAAAAATTCCATGACTTCCTGCATGGTGGGATAAAGATGGGGTTCAGTGTGGGATTAAAAGGATTAGGTGGTGTTGCTGCTGCCCGTCACTGAAAATACATTTCACACTTAGCACCATGAATGTTGCACATTATTAATTTTAACTTATCTACTAAGGTGAAATGTAACTTTCTTTGAAGCATGCATAGCAGTGCTTTGTACTGCATTCTTGCATAAGAAAAGCTAAAACAGTTCTATTTCTTATATTTAGCACTGCTACAATAGATGCTCTTCCTCTCACCATCCTATATTTATTTATTTATTTGGTTCATTTAACTGTTGATCCTATTTTCACAGGGAGAGGCAGTGATCCACTACAATAAGCTGCAGGCTGACCCAAAACAGGGGAAGTCTCTGGACATAGGTATTTATATTTATGTTACTTTCTTTTGAAGCGTGCACTGCAGTGCTGTGTACTGCATTCTTGCAGAATCTCAACAAATCGTTTTCACTGCTGCGTTAGTTTGTGTTAAACATTGATATTTTCTATGTTTCAGTGCTGAAAAAAGTCAAACATCGACTCGTAGAGAATTTGAGCTCAGGAACAGCGGATGCTCTTGGACTCAGTCGAGCTATTCTATGCAATGGTAAGACTGCTAAGATGGTAACTGCAGGTTTGTTCATATCTACTTAGATTTAACTTATTCTTCTTTACAGATGGACTTGTCAAAAGACTGGAAGAGCTGGAGAAAACGGCAGAGCTGTACAAAGGTAAAGAATGATAAGATTCTTTACCTAAACATGTTAATCATGTAATGTGAAAACTCCATAATCACAGATATGAGAGAGCTTTTAATCCACAGAGACGCTGTTGTTCTCTGTTTGCGTTGCAGGGCTGATGGAGCACACGAAAAGACTACTGAGGGCGTTTTTTGAGCTTTCTCAAACCCACAGAGGTCAGTCACTATATCCAAAATCACAAACGAGAAAAACAGTATTACACCAGTGGAATAATCCACTCTCACCCCCAAGCGAAAGTTTGCTGTTGTTTTTTTTGTTTTGTTTTTTTTCCCCAATGAAGGCTAAAACCTGTTGGAGCTTTTAGTTGAAACGTGACCATAAAATGAAGAAAAATGTCATGTTTTCATACAATGTCTGCTTGCTGGTGGAATTGTATTTATTACTTTTTGTTTTCTAACTTTAGCAGATCTTTGCTCGTAGCTATATCTGAGCGGTTTCTGGTTTTGTCCCTTTGCAGCATTTGGAGATGTGTTTTCTGTCATCGGGGTACGAGAGCCCCAGGCTGCTGCCAGCGAGGCTTTTGTGAAGTTTGCTGATGCTCACCGCAACATTGAGAAATACGGCATTCAGCTTCTAAAGACCATCAAACCTGTAAGCACAGATTTAATTTATGCTTTGAGTCATTCATTGTACTAAAAGTGCACACATCAGTTAAAAACATTCATTTTAAAGAAAGCTTTGGAAAATTCTGTCTGTGTATACTTTATATTGTGTTCCTTAAATCTGTCAGAGTGAAATTTATTATGTAAGATGTCAGTTTTCCAGTGGATGTTAGATTTTAAAGTGTCTCTCGTTGTGCAGATGCTCCATGATCTGAACACGTACCTTAATAAGGCCATACCAGACACCAAGCTCACCATCCGCAAGTACCTGGATGTGAAGTTTGAATATCTGGTGAGACCTGCGGTGCTGTCACTCCGTTTACTGAAATTCACTGTCAGCCTGTAGGTTGAATAACAGGACGGGTTTTTGTGTCTTTCAGTCGTACTGCTTGAAGGTGAAGGAAATGGATGATGAAGAATACAGCAGCATCGTGAGTCACAATTTTTACTGATTTAATTATATCAGTATGATATTGACAGTTGATGTAAAAGTGACATTTTGATTGCAACATTTTCTTCCTGTTCAGTGTGTCAGATTATTCTTCTATGAGGAAAAATTTGACCCCAGGAAAAATGTAACCAAAACCTGCTACTTTTTGAACGTTCTAAAGCAGAAAGATGAAAACATTAGAAAAACTGACTGTAAGAAGATGGAACATCACATTTGTATCTGCAGACTAACTATAGATGCCCATCTTTAATTATCATGAGATCATTATGTTCCTCTCTCTAGTTATAGGGATGGTACCTTGAAGTATGAAGCTGCTTGAGATGACTGCGTTTAATCATGTTCTGTTTTGTACACAGGTGTTAGATTAGAGTCAGACTCGGTGATAACAGGTGTTCTTTTTAAAAGGTGTAGATATTTACCATCTCAGCATGACCGCCTCTATATCCTTCATGCTCACAGTCAAACTTTAGTTCACCACACTGATGCAGACTTACCAAGTGCAAGTTTTTTTTTCTCTCATTTTCCCATAAGCACTCTGGGGAAGAACTGGCTATAAGCTTTCCTTGGATTTCCGCAGCTGAAAACATGTTTAATATGAACCAGTAAATCCTATTTTCCTTCTCACAGGCCATGGGGGAGCCTCTGTACCGCGTCAGCACTGGTAACTATGAGTACCGTTTGGTGCTTCGGTGTCGGCAGGAAGCCCGCGCCCGCTTTGCCAAAATGAGGAAAGACGTCCTGGAGAAGATAGAGCTGCTGGATCAGAAACACGGTCTGTTCTTGCTGTTTTTCACCTTTAGCTATTCCCTCCTCTGTCCTCCGTGGCCTGTAAACAGATGCTGAGGATTTAGTAGCTTCAACATGTTGCTTTTGTTTTCTTTCTTCCCCGTCTCCAGTTCAGGACATCGTGTTCCAGCTGCAGCGCTTCGTGTCGGGAATGTCACATTACTACAATGACTGCTACGCCGTCCTGAAGGAGGCAGATGTGTTCCCCATCGAGGTGGACCTCTCCCGCACAATGATCAACTACAGCAGCCAGCCGTTCTCCTACACAGACGAAGACGAGGAGGAAGAGGGAGGCGGAGAGGGAGGAGGAAGCAGTGCTGGCAGACAAGCAGAAAACGGAGCGGAGAAGCTGATCGATGACGAATGAGAAAGCCCGCATGCGTTTGTGTTTACCATCAGTTACATTTAATGTCTACACACTCAGCAGGCAGTGATCCTGGCAGCAGAAAGCAGCTGCAGGAGCGGTTAACACTGTTCACACAGAGAGGAATACTGATTAGAAATGCTGCTATGATACTGTATGTGGGCGTTTTTACAGTTGTTTCTGTGGATTGTTAAAAATTCTATAGCTTTACGGTTACTTTATGATATTATTTACATTTGCAAATTTTCACTTAAAGAAAATCATTTATGGTGTCTCATAAGGTCATCACTGAAGGAGTGTGAGAGACACAATCAACTGAATGAAGCTTTATTTTGTTGTGAGTGATGTGTTTGGGT